ATAATAAAATGTAATTTATACCCCACCCTATCCCACAAGTGGGTTCAGGGTGGCTTACAACATAAAATGTAGTACAACTACTTCACTGTCATGTGAATAATCAAATTACAACACACCAGGTGATTGTGGGAGGGGATCCTGGCCAGCCCCTTTGCTTACTGCTGCAACTTAACAGGCCAGTGGGGGGGGGTGGAGGGAACTTGTCAGCATTGTGCTGACATGTGTCATCACTTATGGGGAAAAACCAGAAGTAATGTCATTGCACCAGGGTGATGCTCTAGGGTTTATTTAAAAGTCTATGGTCACACATTGTTCCTTCTCCCCCAGACTCCCCTGGTGGGTTGTGAGCAATGCTCCCTCTAAGCTGTAGAGTCTTGTGAGCAAAATTCTACTTTGTGAGCTACTGGCATTAAAGTTGTGAGCAAGCAATTTGGCTACTGCATAAATTAGTTTGCTCTGGAGCCATCCTTCCTGAGCTAAGACAAAAATATATGAGCTGGGGCTAAAAAACTGAGCTAGCTCACACTAGCTCAGCTTAGAGGGAATACTGGTTGCTAGTGAGGTATGTCCCTATTGCAGTTCCTTAGTTTTATAATGGTGGACTTTGGCCCCGGTCACACGGCAAAGTTGCCGCGGGAGAGGCACGGGAGTCCCTCAGATTTTCCGGGCACGATCACACCCCAACATCTGGGAAGAGCAGTGCTCCCGTGGTGAACCTGTGGCTCCCCGCCGAAGGTGCGGATTAAAAAACTAGTACTTACGAGGTACTAGTTTCCGGAAACCGTGGGCCAAGGGCGGGTGTCAGATCGCGTTTCCGGTGACTTACATGGCATCTGGCGCCCGTCTCCGCAGGTTGTACTACAGCACCCAACAGCGCATGTGCACAAAGAGCAATTGCTAATGCGATCATGCGGCGCGGCTTCTGTGCCGCGCTGCAGGATACCCGTCTGGTCGGCATCTCCCCCCTAACCACGGGACCTTGATCGGGACGTGTGATCGGGCGGCCGCACGTTAGTTTCCTCCGGGGCAATTAGCCATGCCTCCCCGCGATATCCGGCCCGTGTGACCAGGGCCTTTAAACAGCAAACTAGCTCAATGTGACCTTTTCTCCTGCAGCATCTGCACTCAGCATTCTTGAATCTGCAGACAGAGCACTGATGTGACCATCTACATCCTGAACAGTGGCTGGTATTATCTGGTTTTATGTGCAGATATTGCTAGGAGTGCAATCCTTGTTTTCTGCTGATCCAAATGGATAAGTTGGATAAATTCAGATACTTGTCCAATGTAAGCCCTCTGAGACATTATTACTAATCCTTAAACGTAATTCTGAATGACTGGCAAAGAAAATTCTGTCAAGAACAAGGAATCTAAGGACATCTTCAACATATAAAAACAAGATAAAGACTAATAAAGACTAATTGCAATGTGGGAAAATAGTATGGAGGATGTTATGCAATCAAAACAATCTATTTAAAAATGAATACTCAAGATGATTTGCGATATAATAGTGTCCCAAATAGCAGGGGTGGTTGCCAACTAAGACCTCATGTAGGTTTCCATTGATGGGTTGATAATGGGTCTCCACAATAAAGCTTCCTTGGTAGTACTTGGACCTGTTTAGGGCCAGTTTGGTGTAGTGGTTAAGTGCGCGGACTCTAATCTG